TGGAAACGTTAAGTTTTAAATAACTTTCAAATTTAATTAAGTATTTAAAACTATCCACATTGTGGCACTAATTTCCCTCGCTTCTCGCAGTGCACAATTTGTATTAAACACTTTTCTGGCGCTGCCTTTGTGATGCTGCTACTCCAGTGCAGCTCTCAATGGAAATTAGCACACTTTTCACATTTTCTCTTTGAGTGTCTGGCGCTGGCGATTGCAGTTTTTAATCCATTTTCGCTCCCTTTTTAACCCGCTTCGTAAATTCAAAAGTTCGGAAGCTGTTAATAATGTCGACAGGCGCACGACACAAGTATTTCATTAGAGAAAAGGCATTCCCATCCTGCTCCTGCCACTGCTGCCGATCCTGCCCCATCGCATCCTGTCGCCACTCGTTTTCGGTGCAGCGTTTCCTCTAATTTTCAATTTGGCTTTTGCCCGAGTTTCCTGCACGAAATGTTCTCGCGTGTCGTGATATCTGTTCGAAAGCAATTACACCAGCGCTCCCATGGCAAATGAAAGAAAAACTAATTAAATCCTTTGTCCACCATTTCATCATACAAAGCAAGGGAAAAAGCAGCGACGGAACTCGGTACATAAATAGATCGCTGGGTCAACTATTTAGCAGAGTTATTCCAACCGGGCATTTGCATTTCTTAACAATCTAGCGCTCTCTATGCAAATCAAATCTGCAATGCGCCAAAGCGACGTAACGAAATCCGCCCAAGTCCTTATACTTTATTCTTTATTCTATGTTAATGTGATCGATATGCTTTCGATTTCAGCATAAATGGCGCATCAGCGGCATTCATCTTGATGTAAGTGGGATTACGGATGAGCCCGCAGCGGAACAATGTCATCGACAAGGACCTTCGCGGGATGGGCAGACGGATGGCAGTCATAAATATCGCACTGGCTTCAAGCCCATTAGGCTAAGAGAGTGGCCAGTGAGTTGGTAAAGTGTCTACGGCAGGTGCATTCCCTGCATCCCCCGCTGCATTGATTTATGCCAATCACGATTCGCTAATAACTCAACGGGTCTGCTGATGCCGCTCCTCGACTCCACGACTCCTCGCCTCTTGATGCTGTCATAATGGCAGCAATTTGAGGGTTAAATTGGATATGCCTCAAGCGTTGACAAAGTTGGTCACGTGCTCATTTTTATACCCGGTATTCGTAGGGTTCGAGGGCTATATTGATGTTGAGTAAATGGTGTAGATAAGATCCCTTTATCCCAGATCCGCATCTCAAAAATATGCTTTTTGTAAGGACAAAATTTCAAACCAATTTGATTGGAAAATAAACCATAATATTGATATTATCTCTGTGCTTAGATTATAGCTTCGTTTATTAAAAATATAAAAAAAATAGTTTTCTACATTTCCTGTTAAAGTGTTCTTATATTTAACCCAAATATTTTTGCAAATATTGTTATCTTTAATTATCTCTGCTTGAACTAAATTAAAAATATATAATGTACAATTAAATATTTAGTTTAAAACGTAGATACCAAGCTTAGATCTTTAGTGAACTTTCCCATTAAAGGATGTTGGGTCTCTCATTAAAAAAAAAATAAGCACTACATATCAAACTCGGTATCTCTTAGTCGTTACGTTTTATTCATGCTTCTGCCATCTTCAGCTACTTGTAAACGGTCGCACATAATTGACGTTTCATTAGCATCATCTCTTTGTCTGCTTAAAGGACATTTTCCATGCAAATTTCCATTTCTTACGCCCTCATCGAACACTTTAAACTTGATACCTTGGCAATTAGAAAGGTCAATCGAATAATGATGATGATGGTAATAATGACGCTGATGCTGATGCTGATGGCACTCATAAAAACTTAAATTCGTGCACACCCACACACTCAGTTTCCCGCCCCCGCAGCACTTGGAAAAATCGAACTTGTGAACTTTATAAGCGCTCCCACACAGACACACAATAAAATGGGAAAATTTCATAAATGAACAAGGATTCAACATCAATTTATGACATAATGATATTTGAGTGGGGCAAATTGCGTTAGTCCAATGTTTGTGTGTGTGTGTGGGAGAATCCAAGGATGTTATTTTTTGAGTTTTTTTTCCCCCCGTTTTGTGTGTGGGTCACAACCTTCTTTGTATGCTTGTCCCAGCGATTTGGCTTCATTTTATGTAAATTATGGGATTATGTTGTGATTTAGAATGGGTTACAATTGGAGCTTAAGGAGCGCATTAGAGGCTATTTTCCCTTATGCATTGATAGGGTGTTGAGGTTAATTTGAGGCTTAGTGAGCGGTGGCAAGAATTCACTGCAATTAAACTGAACCACAGACTACTTCACGATATTCTCTAAAATCCCCTTCCCTTGCGCACTTCGAGTGATTAATTGCTGAAAAACTTGTTTTCTAATTATTTAACACCCGAAAACTACGACAATTAATTATGTGGCTGAACAATGAAGCCCATGACGGACATTGTGGGTGACAAACACACACACAAAACAACAATTGCTGCTACAACAATAAATTTTATTTTGAAACCCACCCACATTCAACATTGCTGTTGCGAATTTTGTATAGGACATTTTTTGTTTCTGTTTTTTGGGCAGCAAAATTAAATTGTAGAGACATGCACATGCAGAAAAGCAGTCACACACATTCGCAATTGCATACATTGGATGAAAACAAACTAATTCGCAAAAACTCCTTAAGCATTCTATCTTATTAAATTGTTGAAATTGCGAATTTAAGAAATAATGTTTATTGTTTCATGCTTCAATCAAATGTTTAACAAATATAGATATTTAATAAAACTACCTACGAAGTGAATCCATTTGGAAATTTAGATTAGGCTGAAAAAATAATCTTTAAGTATCTACGACATTTATATTTCAATATTTATCAACATTTGAATTCCTTCACAATAACAGCCAATATAAAAACAAAAATAAATATATCATAATAATCAAATTTTACCATAATCATTCGATCATCGTACAATTATACTTACTTATTTATTATTTTACTGAAACATATATAAATTTAAATGTTTTTGTCTTTCAAATAATTTATTTCAATTTAACCTTTATTGAATGAATTAATTGTGTAAATAATTAAACTAAATTGAGCATGATAATGTCTCCCCGACCTGTTTTTAATCAGAGTTAATAGGCTTAAACATCAGAATATCAGATGTAAACCAATGTTAAAATGTTGTTTAATTTTTTTCCTCGATGCCATTTTTTCCAAGCTTTTCCCCTCTACGGAAAATTCGAGTATTCTATACAAATTCGGCCACATACAGACACACATACAGTGCATGGCAGTGCAGTTGGGTTAATTGTTTTTTAGGCATGCAGAATAATACAGAAACGAGGGAGAGAGAAGCTGGAAAGAATCATTAAATGGCAACGCACATTCATTTGCAACTTTTTAATTAAACAGAATACTGTGACAAATTATTTTAACGAGCTTTTGCATTGCAAATTGAAAATGCGAATTGCTTTAAAGACTCAAAAACTCAAATGTCAACCCCAAAAAGCCAGAAAAGGCCTATAAGCGCCAAAAAAACAAGACATTAGGGATCACAATTCCAACCAACAACCAAAAAAATGAAATAAAAAAACCAAAATAAAACAACAAAGGACCGCCCAAGAAATCTGCTTAAAACAATTATTTCAGAATAATTGGCTTTAATTGCTGCCAGCAGCTTCAGCCTCGACAACGTCGTCGCCCAAGAGGGAAAACTTATGCCCAAGTGTAGGTCATAATGGCATCTATCAGTGGGCGACGGCCGTGGGCAGAGGGATAAGGGGGCGGAGGCGGAAGCGGAAACAAGCAATTTTGCGGCAAAGTTACGAGTGCCGCAGACAAGAAAAACAAAAACGTGGCGATAAGAAAGCCAGGATGACTCCAAAGTGTGCAAGTTTTCCTTCTCTTGCCAAAGTAACTCAACAAGTTTTTGCCCTAGATACGGCCAATTTTATAATTAACCGACTTTGTTTAAGATTTTGTCTGCTTTGTATTGCAAAAAACTTAAAAGTTTAGTGCCGAATAAAAACCGGATGTCATGTTAGGTCAAAACGAATGAGACGATTCAGTTGATATAACCATTTAAAAAGAGTAAAACCATTAAGGCCGCAAACAACAAACCACTGAGGGTAAACAAAGTTGTGCGTTGGAAGGAAAAGTGGCAACTGTTTGTTGTGTTTAAGTCGAAAGTCTAAAACTCGCCCTAATTGCCGCCTCCAACTGCTCGAGTTCACCTCGCAATAGCTCGGCAAGATTAATGGTGGAATTAAAAACCAAGCCATGTTCTGGTGTGTGCGTCGAGCATTGCACTTAATTAAAAATGTTTGCTTAAATTATGTACAGACAATTAGAGAGGCAGACGGGCCAGACAGGCATTTCCGCAATTTGCGGTTAGAATTTTTCCCAGACCACCGAAGTTCATTGTTGGGAGTGAAACATGAGTTTTCCCCCGCGCCAACTTCACTTTTCCGGAGGTTATTATGAAGGAAATCTGAGTGGAAGAAGTCCTTAAGTGGCAGCCGCTTTATTATTTTTTCTGTTGTGGTTATTTTTTCCCCGAACAATGCTAATTAATTGCTTAAACAATTGCATTCCTAATGCCAGCCGCATTGTTGTGGGCCCCCGTTGCGTATACTTAATGCGCGAAATTATTTCACGCTCACTTACAAGTGTCACAATTTCGAGTTGTGTCCTCGTCGCCGGTCCAAATGAGACCGCATAAATTTTGCAGCCATCCTGCCAGCCACGCGCCACAAATGCAATAATTGCGCATTTTGCAATGCGACCCTGGCCAAATGTGTGACACTTGGCCAGAAGAGGACTTGGCCCTTGGGCCACATACGCCATACGCCATACGCCATAATGCCATGGTAAATATTTGTCCTCGACATGCGTTTGTGTTTTGTCATTTGTAGCATGGCACACCAAATTGTAATTAAGCGAATATCATTTCTGGCAGACATTCAGTGAACAGTGATATTTGTTTGGGCTTGAGGTTTAGGGACTGATATTTTTATTGGTTTCAATTCAATCGATCGATGGGCTTATCTACTTGGTCTTGCAGCACTGGTCCTTGGGTCCTTTCTTGCACACGCACTTGCAATCCTGACTGCAGGCGCAATTGTCGCCGCACCTAGTGTCCGTGCACTTGCAGTCTGAAAAAATGGTTTAATTAACTTCGTTGCCTATTTTAAAATAATTTATATTTTATTTTTAACTTACTAGCTCCGCAACCTTTGCAAACCATTGTGAAGAAATATCTTTTTCTATTTGTTTGACTTCCCTGAATACTTTTTAGCTTGTTTGTGGTCAGCATTGTGGGTACCTTGGGTATTTATAGGCTCGACCACCCACAAAGTGCCGCGTGAATATTTTGCACTCTGTTTTGATTGATAAGCAAAAACGTGCGCAAAATCAACAGAAATTACACGACTGCACACAACTTAAAGCGAGTTAAGACCACACGGCACTATCAGTTAAATTAGCTATATAAGAAATTCTGATAAGATATCGAATGAAACCTTCACATCATTTTCGCTGTGGTAAAAATAGGTGACCTATTTCCATTCCACTTTAGACTCAAAAATTAAATTAAGATTAAATATGTTTATTTTAATAGTATTAATTATAAAGTAACGCTAATTTTTATTATATTGTAATTATTATAAATATTTTGACACATTGATGCAATTTTAGAATTAAAAGAATGTATTAAGATTTTATAATCAAGCTTAACAAGTTACTCTAAGCAATTCAACTTAGTACTGTGTCGTGAAATAGTTTCATATCCAACAAACAATTTTTTTATACTGGGTTAATGGCAATAAATATAATTAACTATCTACTTTGTGATCGCTTTCGTATCAGCGAACATATGTTTGGTCTCAGCGCGGTTTTGTTTCTGTGTTAACTATCCCCAATCCTGCGCTTCTACCATTTGCTATGCGCACTTGGCGTCCAAGGGGTTAAGAGTGGAATTACCGCAAATTGCAAAAGTTTTTAATTGTTTATCTCTCGGTTTCTGGGTGTCGGGGAAGAGTTCTGAATCTGGGGTCCCCGGTCTCGGGTGAAACATTAGCGCAACATGGCCCCCGCACCCATGTTGTCCTTGTCGCAATCAGCAAACAAAAATCTCGTCGGGCGGATGCAGAAATTAGCCCAGTCCCTTGCTCGAGTTTGCTAGCTTGTGGCACTCACAGGATGAGGTCAAATTATTAATTTAATATGCATCCGTGCCGCCTCGGACTTTGGACTTTGGCCTCTGCCCGACTCTTTGACTTCCGTTTGCCGCAGTCGGCAATTTTGTGTCTTTTTCTCTGTTTTTGTGGCCCACTGGCCAATTGAGGTGGCCGGCGAAATGGCCACCATTTCCGAATCCTCCCGCGCTTTTTCGGTGACTTTGCTTTGCCTGATTAACGTTTAAACTCATTAAGATAACGCAATTTTTGGCGCTTCGCTGGATTTTACTTTCGAGCAGCTGCGCCCGAAGGGCCAATGTAGAAGTTGAGCTCGGGGTTCAAAGGTCAGCAAGCTGGAAATCTGTTGCCATTGTCTGAGGCTCGCAGTTTTGTAATTGGTTTGTAAACAATTTCACCGGCTCTTTGACAATTTGCCTGCCCATTTTATTTTGGGGGGCTAATTGCGTATTTCGCAGTTCCAGCTTGGAGCTTCTTATCAAAATTGAAGTCCGCTTTTTCTGCCGCGCATTATGCTCTCTATGTTCACGCTCAATTAGTGCTTGTGGCTGGTCTTGGCCATGGCCCCGATTCTGGTTAGAGATTCTGGCTATGGTCTGTTTTGCGGATCTGTTTACTCGCCTTTTTTGGGCGTGGCATCCGGGTCGGCGCTTGTTTACCCGCCAATCAATTCAATTTGCGACTTGTTTGCGCGCGGCATCATTCCAGTTTCAGCATCATTTTTGGCTGGGGCATGGATTTACTTTTGGATTTGGGTTGGGAGTCGTTGCGAATCGACTCCAGTCAAAGGCCGCCACAGGCCCTTATTAAATGAGCAAATATTTCCTCTGCATATTAGATAAATGCTATGATTATGCTTATGGCCTGTTCAATGGCATAATAAAATGGGTGAGCCAAAGTCCCGAAAACGAGCGGAATAATCAAGCAGATTAGGTTGGCAGGGAGGAAATATTAACCATTCTTATTTTATTTATTATGTGTCAGTTATAACACTACTTATTGGTTTTATACTGATCTGCTAGTTTTTCTCAATTAGTTCGAAAAATGGCTTGTCAGAAAAGTTTCAAAAAACTAAACTTTTAAGCCTTTGCCGGCTTTTCAAATAATGCCTTCCGCGCAATTTATACAAAAAAGTCACTTCTAGGCCAAAACTTCTTTAACAGGCATCCGATTTTAAAGTGATTTACCACTAAATTAGTTTTGGCTTAATTAACCTGCAATCAAAACTTTTTTTTTAGTTTGTAATTTCTTTTGATTTTTATACCCTTGCAGAGGGTATTATAATTTTGGTCAAAAGTGTGCAACGCAGTGAAGGAAACATCTCCGACCCTATAAAGTACATAACTATTCTTGATCAGGATAACCTCCTGAGTTGATATAGCCATGTCCGTCTGTCCTGTCTTCAGTCTGTCCGTTTGTCCGACTTTTTGTCCGTCTGTCTGTCAGAATTCTTTTCGACGTAAACTAGTCTCTCAGTTTTAAAGCAATCGAACTGAAACTTTGCACAACCCTTCTTTTCCTTTACAGAATATATGAGTCGGAACGGATGGGATCGGCCGACTAATATCCTAATAGCTGCCATATAACTGATTGATCGGTAATGCCAGTAACTTTGGTGTTTGTCATAGAAAGGAAGCTAGGACTTCCTATGGGTTTTATATTTGGTCAATCAATCTGACCTACCAAATTTCCTATAAGGTAGTTCAAGTCCGACTATATCCTATTTTGCTGACATATTTGAATCTGAACGATTGAAAGAATAATATAACTTTAGGAATTGTTAGAAAGCTCGAAAGGTTTCAAAAGCTGGGCTTTGTTATTTTTTCTATGGGTTTTATATTTGACCAAATCATTCCGACCTACCAAATTACACCAGTGCATAATTCCGGTGCCGAAACGTCTCTATTCCTTTAGCTGCCATATAACTGATTGATCGGAAATGTCATAACTTTGGTGTTTGTTAAGTTAGGAAGGTGGGGATTTTCTATGGGCTTTATTTTTGGCCAATCAATCCGACCTATCAAATTTCATAAGGATCGGCCGACTATATCCTATAGCTGCCATATAACTGAACGATTGGAAATGCCATAACTTTGGGGGTTTTTAAAGTAAGAAAGTTGTGATTTTTTATGAGTATTAAGAATGCATCATATGAATAATTTTGGAGAATATAATTTACAGAGTATTTCTGCAGGGATATCAACTTCGGTTCTTCGCCCAGTTAGTAGTTATCTTTCCTTTTTGTTTATGATACCCTTTGGAAAATTTCGAGAAATAGGTTTCCCGAAAAATGACATAAAACCTGCAGCTTAAAGGACAAAACTTTTCTTACAGAAGTCCAAATTCGAAATGGTATACATCTAAAACCTTATTGTTTAATTCCCTAAAAACCTGTATTCAAAACTTGGTTTGTAATTTTTTGTCGATTTTTTTTTTTAATAATTTTCGATAAATGGCTTTACCGAAAAATTACCTAAAACGTGCACTTTAAAGGCCATAACTGTTCTTACAGAAATCTGATCTCCAGGTGGTATACCTCTAAAGTTAAATCTAAAAACCTAAAAACCTGCACTAAAACTTGTTCGTAATAAGGAACATATTAGCTTGTACATGTTCATAGAATGTAAATTAAAACTCTCAACCAACTTTAAAAAAAGAAACCATTCAATTGAAGTGCAAATATATCCTATAAGGTCCAGTTCAAAGTTCATCGGATACAACAACACTATTTTGCTTACTTATATTTTGAAATTCATTATGTATCGTAATGAAAGAATAATATATATTTTACAGGAAATTCATAGAAAAAGCATCGAAAAGGTCATTACAAAAAAAACTGTGCTTTTGTTAATTTTTTTTGATATTAAAACCACTATACTATTCAGAATGCCAAAAGATTTTACGAAACTAAATTACACCAGTGCATAATTCCGGTGCGAAACGGTTTCTCTATTTCATTCTAACAGAATTTGTTAGCGACAGTCACGCCGTTGGCCTTTCCGGACTCACAGCTTTATACATGTCGAATCGCATTCGAAATTTTCCAACAGCACTAAAACAATTTCAAAGTACGCACCCCTGTGCAACTTCTGGATTCAGGACGGCGGACTCGGGATGCAGGACGGCTACGTCATGTGGCTGAACAACCAGCCAAAGCTGGGAGGACTGGGGATTGGGTTGGATTCAGTTAAAAGCAAAAAAAAAAACGAGAGCCCAGAACAAGCCATGGACCAAATGCCGCCCTGGTTCTGGATATGGTTCTGGATCTGCCTGCGTTGCGGCTGCTGTGGTTGCAGTTCATGGCAGAAAGGCCCGAAAAGCGGGGAGCTTGAATCAGGCCTAGGCCAAACGGACCCAAAAATGTTCTGCAATATGCGTCGAGTTGGAAAATTCATCATAAATTCCATGCGACAACATGGGAGCCAAACTTTTCATATGCTCCTCAAAATGCCGCACTGCACTACCCATGTCCCATGTCCCAAGCAGCCATCCATCCATATCCATTCCATCCCATCCGAACCCAACCCAATCCGACCGACCAACAGCTGCTGGCGATTTTTATTTATACATACGTACGTCGGGCAGACTGTTGCCGCATCTCGACACGCCGAAGTGTGTTAAATGCATATTTGCAAAGCTTAAATTCCATAACCGACGGAATGACGACAATCGGCAACAGCTGGGATAGTAAATTTTATATATATAACATTACACCCCTTGACTGCTGACGTTGTTAACCCGAATTTCGATTTGCATAAATGTCAGTTGGATAGCCCTCTAAAACAGTGCTGCCAATGTTTGTCTCTTTTTGAGACATATCTGTCCTTTTTTTTGAAAAGGTCTTAGCCCGAAAAGTTGTCAAAAACCATCTTGCTGAAAATCTGGTTATGTTAGCCGTGGACATTGTTTATTTTAAGATATTGTTAATAATGGTATATAATGTTGATCTTTTTAAGGATGTAAATGTAATCTTTATGAATAAAATAAGAATTAATAATGTAAACAACGATTAAACATTGATAGCTGTAAGTATCAAAAATTAAATATTTTTCATAAATAATATTTAACATTTTACAATTGTCAAATTAGCTATTTAACATAGTTGTTAAAAAAATGTTTCAACATAAACCAAATCTT